TACAATAATTTATGGAACATCTCGATTCGCATTTCTGTCATGAAAAGTTTTTCACATAAAATTCATCGCCTTCGAATGAGGTCGAAACTGGTAGATACCTCAGTTTGTCGGAATAACACCAAGATGTACGCCACAAGTAGTAGTCTGGAAGCGGGCATATCTATAGATTTTAGATACTCGTAAATGGAAAAATAGCTAACTCGATCAGTAATTCCATTCTTGTTCTTGGAAGGGAAATCGCTTAGTGAAAGCGTTGAAGAGCACTAGGATGATATGTAAGGTGATTCGTCTTCTTTGCTAGTGGCCCTGGATAATTGGTTTAACGAGTTTCATCATCCTAGTCCCACATGGGTATTTATGAACAATGCGAAGGAGTTTCTTTGTCGTTTCGTGACTGTCCTCTAGGTCGGAAAAGCCTTTGCCTTCCGTTAGTTGGAGTTCAATTATCACAGAACTCTACTATGCTGAATTATTGCACCAATCCGATGCCAAATTGTCGGCACCACCAAATTGATCGAACTATTAAATTCCTCATCTATAATATTCTTCACATTTGGCAGCCTTTTGTTTCAAAACTTTGAAAAGTCACTCGTAAGGCAGAAACTTGAGTCCTTTGTGGAAGTTATCGCCGCCACGGAGGCCTACATCTCTAATTTATTACCCACTAGCAATAAAGCGTTGCATATATCCCTTGCTGTAAAAATAAAGCAATTGTTTTCATTCGTTTAGTTTTTTCCTACCCGTTGGTTCTTGTATTTGCTGCTTGATTATGAAGATGGTATCATTTATCGTTCCATCATCTTCTGATAACAGTGATAAGCGCAATATTGTTGTAAAGTAATAATTATTTAACGCCAATTTACAATATTTGCAACGCTGAAAGCATTTTATGATGTCCTATTAGAATTGTCTACAATCAAAAGTCAAAAGATAAAAAACTTACAAATTAATTATAGTTATATCTATTAAAGGGTGTTATACTTGAATCATACCCAACTTTACATGCTATTTAATATATACTATTACCACTTTAATTACAGTTATTAATTAGTTAAAACACTGATTAGTTTATACGCTCTGAATAGTGCCTGTGGCGGCGTGCCGTTGCCCATTTCAATCAAGCAGTTAAAAGCCGCAGATAACTGCGCAGAGTAGCGAGTGCACTGTCGTTGGTTTGAAGCACACACAGTTTATATACATATATTATATATATATATAATTTTATATATTTAT